GGGCCCGCGATGTGAGGGGGCTGTGAAAAAAACTGTGAACCAAAACTGTACATTCAGCTTTATTTTGTGTGTGTGTGTTTATTTATTTATCTCAAATAATTATTAAATAACAAATAGGTACTCATATTTAAAAGATTTCAACAAGAAAAATTAATAACAAGTATAAAACTAAGTTTATATCATGGGGGTCTTAGATGCACATTATTGAGGGAATAATATATTTTAAACAGTGATGTGATGAAAAATATGTGATTAAAAAATAAGGAAAAGTTTTGGATGTGATGGAAAATATTATTTTATTGAAGAATGTGTGGTTGAAAATAAGTTTTGAAAGAATGTGAATCAGACGGGGCATATATAAATGAAGAATTTAATCAACGTATCGACGACGTGTCGTGTCAGTACTTTTTTGAAATATCTCTTATCGACATGTCCGACACATATATACACATGTCTATGTCGATGCATCATAACTCTTCTTAGTAAATATGCCATGGGGATTCAGGAATGGACTCCTAAAAGAATCATGAAGATTATGAGTTTGCTCCAGTTGAGTAAAAACTTTCCTTCAACAGCTAATACTATTAAATCAGCATTCCAGTAAGCCAATGTAAATGTGGGATAAAAGACAACAAAAAAAAAATATAGAATATCTGCTTAAAAGCATGAATCTATTCAAATGCATTGGATTCACTGTCCATTCTCCCTTCTCTTTTCAGTTCAGTACACAAAAACAGTCCACACGGACCATTTTACGTTCTGAACATAATGCTAGAACCTTGAATTTATCATCTCAGAACTAATTAAAGCTATATTTTCACACAGAAAGCCTAAGAGTATCACTTGAAACTGGAACTACTCCATCTTACACACAAGTTTATTCAAGAATTTGCTTATTCAACATTAACATAGGACATCAAATACGTACACACACTTTTTTTTTTTGAAAGGTACGTACACACACACACATCATATTGAAAAGAAACACGATAATTGACATGTTTGCTTCCTGCGTAAAGGTTAAAATTCAAAGGAAAATCTCTCTCCATATATGAGAAGGAAATAAAACATGAAGCAATAACAAGAGACAAGAATGAAAGTTCCAAAGAGAAAAACAGGTTGTGAACTCTGTCTTGTCACAGAGGGTCGCTAAACTGACTGGCAGTACATTAATGTCTCTTTTGGAAATTTTAGTAGGACAAAAGGTAAAGAAATCACAGAGCTCCTAATAGTTTGATCTTAAAATAACTAAAAAGAGAATAATAAGTGCATGTTAAGTACGTAGCACTATACCATGCTCGACATTATCATGGACAATATTTTAGCTTCTTTTTTTTTTTTTCTCTTCCTTGTACTATCCAATGTACTCTAATCCACATTACCAAACATGCTGTTAAATTATTTATGCTAACGGGAGCAACATATTTATCTCAATAGCAAGCAGAACCTTCCCCAGCGCTAAGCAAATTCTTCACGTTCCAAATCCCTGTTACAACCAAGAGGTTAACACTCTCATGAATCCAACATAGCAACCACAATGACAACATATCTATGTCAATAGCAAGCAGAACCATCCCAAGTTCTAAGCAATTTCTTCATGTTCCAAATCAGCGACACAACCAAGAGGTTAACACACTCGTGAACACAACATAGCAACCATAATGACAAGTGACAAAATGCAAATAAGTTGTCGCGGTATAGGGCAAGAACCCATATTTCTCAGCTATCCTAATTCACCAAAAACTACTTACAATAAGCAATTGAGAAAAAGGGCAAACAAACTAATAGGAAAGAGTGGTAAATCACAACTTACATAACGATTGAACATCTCCACAGCCTTTTCAGCTTCTTCCACTGTACTCATTGTCACAAATCCGAACCCCCGACTTTGATCTGTTTCTCTATTATAAATTACCTACGATATCAAAAGAATCCCTTTTCTAAAAAATCTTAAAGTTTGCTCCCAATAAGTAATCCAAAAGATTAAGTTAAAAAGAAAAGACAGAAACAAACATATAAAATGAGCCAACACAAATGCCAAAATCAGAGAAATTAAATCAAGAATCTTTATACCTCTGCAATTTCCACAACTCCAGCTTGTTCAAAAAGCTGAGCCAGTTTTTCACTGTCAACATCATAAGGCAAATTTCCAACAAAAAGCTTGGCCTCCTCAGGTGGCTCAGAATATGAATCTTCAGTCACCCCCTCCTCCACAATGCCACCATCCACATTCTCCTCTTGCTCACTTTCACCTTCCCACGAAAACGAACCAGCGCCACGAGCCTCTATGTCCCCAGCAGCTTCCCACCCCAACACATCTTTCTCATTTTCTTCCACTTCCTCTTGTTGAGCCCAGTCCGAGGTTTTTGCAAGTGGGACCACCCTATATGGCAAAATCTTGGATTTGAGAGAACCCCATGTGGAAGAAGTCGATAGTCTAATTAATGGGCATGACGGTTTGGAATTGGAGGAGGGGAAGAATGATTTTCTTGAAACAGAAGAGGCACAACATTCAAATGGATTGATTAGAGGTGCGGTTGCAGAAGCCATTTTTTAGCTTAATTTCAAGACGCAAGGTGGATTGAAGCTTGAAGATAAGAGGAGTGATGAGGTAGGGTACGGTTGGAGTATATAGCGGTGAAATAAACCTCAGTCGATATTCCAACAAATGCCAAGAGATTTGCAGGCCAATTTCTTTTTGAAAATTGTACTATTCATCCCTAACCTATTGATGAAGTTGTAAATTAGTCTTCAATCTATTTGATCGAGTGTTTGACCTATCAATCGAATCATAAATTAGTTCCGCAATTTCTTGATCGGGTCATAATTTGGCGTATTTTTCCAGAAAATTGCTGTGAGTATAGGGAAAAAATAATAGAATTAATACAGATTTTTGAATTTCACTTTCATAGGTGGGCTCATGTGAATTAAAATATTGGCAAAAAATCTCACCCACCCTACTGTGTGTTCTGGCAGGTATAGAAATTTGAATTCCTGTACCTTTAGCATGTCTCATTTTTCCAATACATTTTGACGAAGGTTTTCTAGAAAGCCCTTTTTTCCATGGTTGAAATGAAACTAAAGTATTTTGTTTTAATATTTTTTTATATAAAAAAGAATTTTTATTTAATGAAACATAAAATGTAGGATTATGCCACTGTACCCAAAAAAAAAGAGAGAGAGAGAAGATGCAACGATAGATGAAGTGGCTGTAGAAGATGACTGGAAGAAAAAATTGACTATTTGTAAACAGTCCAATGATCTAATGCCATGTTGTGTTATGTCAACTTTTCTGTCAAATTTTCTGACAATGTATCATGATTGTAAAATGTAGGTGTACAAGACGCATCTCTCGTTAAAATTCAAAATATTTTCGTTTGGACCAACTTGAGAACGCTGAGTAAATCACAAAAGAGTGGTGCTATGTGTACACACAATGTTTTACACCCCCCTCACATAGAGGGGGGCCCACGATTATTTTATTATGTGTGGGCCCCCCTCCATGTGAGAAGGGTATAAAACATTGTGTAAAAAATTGTGTATATTTTATTATGTGTGGGCCCCCCTCCATGTGAGGAGAGTGTAAAACATTGTGTAAAAAATTGTGTACACGTAGCTTTATTCATCACAAAATATATGTATTACAATGTCACAATAACTTCATTCATATATAGATTTGAAGTTCTTGTAAGCTATCACTGCATAAAAAGGATCCGATCCTGATACCAATCCCAACCACCCTGTAATCCTACTGAAAATTGAATTGTTCTCTTTAGCACCACCGTCAGCCGTGGTGGCCGTATTTAACTGGCGAATAACTTCAGGCTGCGTAAATCCCTCCACGCACTGGAAATATTGAACAACTAGTTGTACTCTACTATATGCAGTGCCATCTCTCCATGCACTTATGGCTTTTTCATAGAATAGTCTATTGCTGAAGCTCACGATGAAAACCCCTCCTGGTCTTAGTATCCGAATAACCTCAGCAAATACCTGAAAAACTCAAAGCTATGAAGTGAATATAATCGAGACAAAATGGAATTTGTATAATCCAAAGGTCCGGTATTTACACATAAGTGGGAGAAAATTCGGATTAATCTTAAACTTTTAGACGATACTATTAAATGACTAAAATTAAACAAAGCCCACTGACCTTCTCAGGCTGCTGAAGATACTGCACACTAACAGTACACAAAACTGCATCAAAACTGCCATTTTCCAGTGCAAGTTCTTGATCCTGATTAAGATCTTTTACAAAGAAATAATCCAACCTCGGATTTTTGGAAAGCTCCTGTGCATTGAGTCCATGCCCTACAACTTTCTTGTACTTAACCTCTTTAGGCAAATGGCTAATCCATGAGCTCATCAGATCAAGGATCTCCATTTCAGGCCTCAATCTTTCCCTATAAAGATTTGTCAATGTCAATATAAATTTATCATCAACATGTGCCACGAAACGCGGATAAGAATAGAATTCTCTATCAGGTTTCAGGTCGAGTTTCACTCTGCCTTGTTGAGGAAGAACCAGGCGCTTGATTCTACCAGCTGAAGATTGGTTTTTCTGGTTGTCTTCATCATTTTTTGTGTTTGAAATTATGGGAAGAAGGGTTTTCTTCCTGCTTGGAAATCTAGTAGATTTTAAGGTTGTTTGTTTAAGAAATTGACATGGATTTGGGGTTTGAGAAAAGATTAACATGAGTTCACGGATCAATATTTGTTGCACAGAATTCTTGTCCACAGAAGGAGAGAAAAGGGGATAAGTAGTAAAGCTGTGTCTTAGAAAGGGTAAAATATTTATTTTGGTCATTTAAGTTAAAGGAAAATTCTAAGTTGGTCACTATGTTCAATTTATTTCAAATCAGCCCTTAAAGTTTGGTTGTGCTACATGTGTATAATGATTTACACACATGATGTAATGATATATGATTGGATCAAAATTTCTTCAATCAAATAAAAAAAATATATCATTTTCTTTTTGAACATCATCTGTATGTAAATCATTATGTACAAGTGAAATTATTCACTAAAGTTATACTATAGTTTCAAATTAGTAATATGTAATATATGATAATATATTACAAGTGCAAGAACATTACCTGAATGCGCCGAAACCTAATGCTAAACGCTAGAACTCTATTGGGTTGAGGGAAAGAAAGATAGAAGATGTAGAAAAGCTCACGTCTTGTACTTATAAGTTGCTTTCTAGAAGAAGAGAAAAAGAAAGAAAAAAAAGTTAATTATAGTTCAACCATACCGATCATAATTACGTGCTTTAAACAATTTACCTTTGTTTTTAAATCGCCTATGTCTAAATTGAATTGCCCGCATGATAGAGTATCGAGCGGTGTTGATGTAATGAGCCATACCAATGGTCAAGAATTAGAGGTTGATGGGGTTAATTGAAGTAATTTTTTTCATCTCTACTTCCAAATGAATTTTCTAATTCTTGACAATTGATATGCTCGTTACATCATTGCATCACTTTTCAGATAATCCATCTAAAGAAAAATCTCTACCAAACAAGAACTAGATCTAAAATTGAGTGACATGTTCGTGACAAAATAAAGTTCGGTGTGACCCAAAAGATTGGATGGAGAGAAATTTTGAAAATATTCGAAGATTAGATAAAACATTAGTTTTAACCAATCGAACCTTACATCATTGTTTCACACATTGAGCCAACATGTTTAACAAAACTTTTCAACATATTCAAAACATTCGTTGATGATAAAAAGTAATTAAGCAATTAGTCAAGAAATTATTTCGCTAGTTGATAAAAGAAGGTTACAGTATAGGCTAGTCGATAACATGTCTATTGAATTAAGAAAGTATCTTCATCTTCTATGTTTCCATCTACTATCGTCCAGCTCCAGGACCAAATCTAAGTCGCAAATTGTCAAGGGTTCGAGAAACTAACATCAGTCGTGGATCGTCATTGGGTATCTCTCGTTCCTGAAATTCAAAGAGAATTAAAATGCAGCAAACCACGCTTACTTTATAAATAAGAATTTTCAATCGAAGTTAGGAAGGCCAATCTGGTTGTGTAGATATTGTGGGAGGAGTCCTAACATGGCATTGGCTGGTGGTGCCAGTTCATGTTCACATAAGATCCAAACACGAACAAGGACGGACATGCTATCCATACCAGATATAATAGTTGAACATTTAAATTTTAATTAATGCTCAACTTTTCCTTTATTAATTGCAATACGAATAGAAGACTCACTTTTAATCCATTGTAATATGCTTGAACAGCAGGAAGTGAAGGGGTCAAGCGACGAGCTTGCATCATGTCCCATATTAAGTTGGCAGTCGTGTATCCACCGGTCTGTCAGCCAATTTCAAAACTGTTAGCTTTCGAAAGAAAGAACCATCATAGATAGACTAAAAATGAGTTAAGGAAAGGTTACAGAAATAAAAGACGAATGGCAAAAGAAAAATGGAAGAAGCAGATATAACTTCTTGCTATGGCTTACTTTTTCACCGGAGGCTGCAAGGAGGAGATCATTTCCCATTCTCACATTCAGGGTAAAGCCCCTAGAATTCATATTGACCTGAATGATGGCAAATAAACGTATTACAAGTATGTATTAACACAAGGAGTCAATTCGGATACAAGTATAGACCGTAAAATACCAGCGTCTCTTGAGCAAGTTGCATTCCCCTGGGTGTATATCCAACCATTGCTCCCTCTGCAAGTATCTATAGCCACGGAAATCACATCATTCATCATTTTCGTTGGTCATTAATTGAAGCAAATGCAAAGGAAATTTGTATTACTCCAGTAAATCCAACGACGTTTGAATTCGAAGGAAAATTAACTCAAAGTTGAGCAATCTCTCACAAACAATACAATTAAGCACAGTAATTCACCAACATCTTTGCAGATCAACAGGAGACTAAACGTTTTCAGTACCAATTCAGCAATACTTCAGGATAACAATCAGGCTCATATATTTTATAATGAACAAATCCACTGGAAAATCAGTATCTAGCCTGGTAAACCAAGGGTAAAAGTCGTTTTTAAATTTATTGAAAACATAGTACAAGGTTCTAAGAAAAATATGCAGCTGTAGAACAATACAAAAGGCATGTCTTAATCTTTTATTTTTTTCTATTGGAGGTGCATTAGTCCATAAAATTTTATCCTAGTCAAAGAGAAGGAAATTAATTTGTCAAGCAATATAATATTTGTCTAAAACCCACCACATAGATCTCTTTGATGGTGGTTTATTCAAATTCACAAGGGCTTTGAAAACGTTCCATCTTTTTGCTGGAAGAATAAAATATACGATGCTGTCCTCATCAGAAAGAAAGAAATAAATTGCTGGGAGAATAGCACATGTATTCAAAACTCACCACGTATAGTTCTATCATAGGTGGTCTATTGGATTTCATGTAGTCTTCGAAAATTTTTTGACCACGGTCTACGTCCCCAGCATGAAGATAGCACCTGCATAAGAAACCAATTAAAGTATATAAACAGATTAATTTGCATCGAATGGTACGATAGGAAATTACATTTTTGTTGCCAACCTAGAAACAGCTAATTTCCTATGATATTAAACCAAATGATCGCGTTCAGAAAGGGAGAAATCAACTATCAAAGATATATATATATATATAATTTTATTAGTTAAAAATATATTTGTTAGAATTTGTTATGAGTGTCCAAAAATGCATTGTGACCCACATATATATATAGAGACCCTCTTTACCAGGCTGGCAATCCTTCTTCCTCCTTTTTAGCCTTCTCCATTATGTTTCTTTAGATGTCCTTAGGAAAAGGTGGAAGGGACCTCTTTGAAGCAAAACCCCTTTTAGATTTCTACTATTTTTGGAAAAGTTATATCTTGGAGAATATTCTCCAAGAAATCTAGCATCTTTTCCGTTTTTAGTTTAAAAAAAAAACCCATAGATACGTCTCAAAATGATTGTCCTCGAGTGATCTATTTATAAGTGACAAATAGGGCAACACAAAATATGAACTAGTTCAACTTTGCTGAAGGCTTAAAATTTGGAGGTTTGACTTGAAGGATTAAGAAAAGGACAACACATGTTGTCGCCTTCTAGTGAAAAAAATAGGGCAGCTTTATTATAAGCATTCCCTCTTCAAGATAAATAGCATCTTACAACATGTTTGATTGACTAAGCGTAAAATGTAATACATTTTTCAAAAAGAAAAAAATGTTTTTAAATACTTTTAAACTTGGTCAAACATTCTCTATTATAAATTGATATGCATCGACTCCAAACCCTTAGACGATTTCGGTGAATATTAAAATTGTATTACAAAAGCAAAAATGCATTTGACTTTTTGAGCTTTCTACACTACCTTGTTAGCACACACTTTCTTTGTAGGAAACGTATGGTTTCTTTGCTCCCAGAGTTGTGGGTGTTACAATTTTACATTTAAATGGAGTGGTTCTTAATAGTTGATTTCGTAAGTGTGTGAATCTTGACAATAATATAATGATATGTAAAGTACCGTTCCCATAAAAACTGTGTTATCGAAATTAATAATATTAGCTTTCTTGGAACGTATGTTTTCAAAATCGAACAAAGCGTTAACCTAGAAAAATGAAAGTCTCAAAGGTCGAATCGAGATTGAATTGGGATCGAGCTCATTCTATAAATTAAATATTAATATGCCATGAAAATTTGTGAAAAGGAAAAAAAAAAATAATTTCCTAATTTCTTCTATATATTAAAAGTGGCTATGTAACGGAATTTTTTGTTTTTAACGAAAAAACTAATGGAATTTGTTGTTTTAACGGATTATGTAACGGAATTTCTTATTTTAAACATGCAGTTTCACCTTCCTTCAGTGTTTTTATCATAACTTAGTATTCTGATATCCGATTGAAGCGATTCAAAATGCGTTAGAAAGCTAACTCATCTGCCTACAATTTTGATTCAGACATCATTCTCCAATTCGATCACTTTCTATGCCAAAAATATGTCTCAATATAATGGATTATGTAACAGAATTTCTTGTTTTAAACAGGCAGCTGCACCTTCTTTCAGTATTTTTATCAAGCTTTTCTTTTTAACAATGATTTTTGCTGACTTGACGTAATAAATAAAGCCATTTAGTGACGTTGGCACTTAATGGTGCCGCATAGGATTTAATGTTCATTTCTGTTACCGAGTGATCATTAATGCAACAATTAGAAACTTGAGTAACTATTTTTGTAAGAACTTAAGTAACCATTGATGTAATTACTCAAAACTTCAACAACCATGGCGTAATAACATCAACAGCTGAAGCTGAATTAGAAGCACAGTAAAGAAAACCAAAAAACATATAAAAGTTTCTTCTTGGCAGGCCCTGCCTTTAAATGATGAGGGAAGTAAAAGACAAAATGGAATGCCGTGCAGCTACATGTGCGTACTCCACAGTTTATGTTTATAATGGTTATTAATTTGTTGCTTCACCTCTTTTCGTTTATACCTGCTGCATTCTTTTACAAATGATCATTATCTGGGTAAACGGGACTTGGGTAGGTAGGGAAGTAGAAGTTCCCTATGAAGTGTTCTCTATCTCTAGGTTGCAGACAAGGGAAGATATTGCTAGGTTAGCCTACCTCTATCACAATTTCACTGTTCAATAATGATCATCTATTCCTATGCAGCAAAGATAAAGGTCTACTTCGCCCCCGCTCGAAAAAAAAAAAAATTGGCAGCCGATCTTTCAAGAATCTATAGAAATATTAACTGACAAGTGAAAAGAGAAAAGCTCTATAATAAATGTGGTCACGTTTTCAGAAAATCTTGAGCATATAACTAAGCAAAGAATAAGGTAAAATAAATTTGCGCTGTAAGAATGTGCATGAGAAGAAGGAATGAATCAGCAATATCATTGCAAGTGTATGGTAAAAAGAGAATGTGGTGCAATTTCCAGTTTCTTGTGAATGCATTAATAACTTGAAGAGTCGCCTATTCTTATAATCAAAAGTCATATGGAACAGTAAGATACTTGAAACTTGGCCAGACAAATGGATATCCATCACAAAGAATGTGCAGCCATATCTGTACTTCGCATAAATTTACGTAATGGGTAGCAATACATCACAGAAAGAGATAACTTCAACGACAAACTACCTCATAACTTGCATCAGAATGAAAACATCGGGGGATTTACCATCCTTCTCAAGCATCTCCAGGAGTCTTTCCGTAGCCTGCCAGGACACAATGTCAAAACTTAAACGTAAGAGATGATGGATGCATTCCGAAAGATCATGCCTGTTGCATTGCATATACAGTATGAGACATATAGACCTGATAAGAAACCAAGGAAAGACTGTGATAGAGAGAGAGAGAGAGTAGATACTTTCTATAGTCAAAAGTATATGTCATTCTTCAGTTATCTGATGAGTGACGATCGTTTGATTGAGGCATTGTAAGTGTCAAAACTTAGCCCTTGTTTGGGCTCCATTTTAATGAAAATTTGGGAAAAAATGAGTTTTGGAATAGTGACTTTTTTGGAAAATGTGTGATTAAGATATAAGAAAAAGTTTTTGATTTACGTGTAATTTTATTTTATGGGAGAATGTGTGGTTGAAAATGAGTTTTGAAAAAATAGAGGACAAACAATTTTCAAGTGAAATTAAAGGAAGGAAACAAAGGTGAATCCCATTTTAACCCCAATGTCTTGCCATCATTGAGCATAAATCATGTAAAACTACCATAGACTTGTGTTTTAGCCAGGTCTAAAGTATGAACTTGTTTTTCATAGCATTAAAGATGTGAGTTATCATGCTTTATGCCCTCCACAACTAAAAGTGAGCAACTAATCCAATAGTTACATATTAAAATCTAAAGAGATATGACACGGTATAATAATCAGTATTCACAGAGTCATTAGCCGAACAGGTGATGTCACTGTTATAGTAACAGAGGGATCAAATCATCATTCTAAATAAAGGTTGACAAAATCAAATCAAGTAAAACAGCCAGCATTGAATATGATTTCACCTTAAGAAGAGGGTTATGAGCAATTTGTTTCAATAGTCCTTAAACGCATCATATATGAAGGTAGATTGACCCAATAAAATACAATAATCAAGGAGAATTAGAAGACAGGTATGAAGGGAAATTGCAAATAGAATAGATAACAGGAAACTACCATGTTCATGTACGGTTTAATCTATTTGATAGCACTACCCATTAGTTCACATCTAGTCACAGACACCCATGCAGTTTCGCTTCCCTTCCACAACAAGTAGATCACAAATCCATATATCGTGAAAACTATGCCGTAATATTGCACTAGAAACTGAGGGCATGTTCTCTTTACTATTTTTAGGTCATTTTCAGTATTCGAAAACACTGAAAATACATTTACTTACCTATTTTCATAAATGAATTTCCAAAAACGAGTTTAAAATTTACAAAGAAAATGGAAACGCCAAAAAGTCGTTTTGCTTGTTTTCAGTTAAAATCAAATCAAAACGGCCAGATTTTGCCAATAATGAGATAGCTTAGTCGAGTAACATGCTTGAATGGTCACTGAACTTTAACATGGTCACGACTTACTTACTGAATTTCAAATTGTCTCTTAATGGTCACTGAAGTTTCTGCCGTAGCACCACATCCATCACTCACCTAATTCCGTAACCATTGAAGCTGATGTGGCGGACGGAAAACAGATCGGAAGAGCGTCG